TTTTTGTTTTCACATTTGTCCAGCGGAAGCACAGGCTGGTGCAGAAACGGGCCGACTCTGATCTGTTGTTCATGGCATTGCTGTGAGTTGAGGGCTCTGGACAACATCTAGAAGAGCTGCCCAGCTTTGCAAAGTTAATAGACAGTGATGGCGAGAAAAAGCCACAGTAAAGAATCCATCTACCATAGCCCAGGGTGAAAAGAAAGAAAGCAGGGCCTGTCCCTGCTTGGTAGGACAGAAGGTCAGTCAAAGAGAGGACGAGGTGGATCGACTGTGACTTTGGGCGCCCAGGGATTGTGAGGATGGCACGGGACTGGCAGGATTTCCTTCTGTTCCATATGGAGCCTTTGCCAGCAGGAAGTGACTCCACAGAACCGAACAACAGCAAAGACTAAAGAAAAGTCAGGGCCTGGGACGGGCTGCATCCAAGCGAGTGTCTACCTCCGTCAATGGCCAGGGACTCCAGGGAGAGTGTAATATTACAGGGAGAGTGTAATGTTCTTCTCCTCACAGGGGTGGTGAGTGTGTGTTGCTCTTTGTGTTATCATCTGTATCCATCGTGAAGCTGTGGATTGAACACTGGGCTGCTGTCCTAATGGTTGGCGGTTTGAACCCACCAGTGGGCGAAAAGCGAGGCTGTCGGCTTCTATAAAGGTGCACATCCTTGGAAGCCCTGTGGGTCAGGTCTACTCTGTCCTACGGGGCTGCTAAGGGTTAGAATAGACTTGATGGTAGTGGTTTTATACCCGATATGCATTTTAAAAAATTTTTTTTTAAATTTTATTAATTTCAATGAACATTTACAGAGATTTTGGATTTCCATTCATTCATTGTTGCACTTTTCTTCCTGCCCAGCCCTCCCTGCCCCAGTTTGCTCCTCTCTTTGAAAAGTAAAAGAAAAATTCTTTCATTGGTATACAGTACCCCCGCACACCCCACACCCACACTGCCTCGAGTACACTCCACTGTTGTTGTTGTTGTTATGTGCCATCGAATCGTTTGCGACTCATAGCGACCCTATGTACAAGAGCTCTAAACGCTGTTCTATCTATCCTGTGCCAACCTAGCTATCTCAAACGCACTTATTCCCACCGCTTCAGTCACAGAATCGATTCATCTCATCGAAGGTCTTCCTCTCCTTCACCGCCCCTCCACTCTCCCAAACATGATGTCCCTCTCCAAGGACCAGTCCCTCCTTGCAACATGCCCAAAGTATGTCAGACGAAGCTTCAGAATCCTTGACTCCAAGGAGAGCATTATGGCTTCACCTTCTCCAGGACAAACCTGTTCGTTCTCCTAGCAGTCCATGGTATATTCAACACTCTTCTCCAGCACCACAGCTCAAAGGCATCAATTCCCTTTCCATCAATATGCAAACTTAATTCTGAACTCTTGTGATAACCATAATACCCTATCATATGTTGCTTTTACCATAATACCCTATCATATATTGCTTTTAAATTGTTCTCTTCCTCATCTGTTTCAATACATTATACATAATTTATCCAGTTTTTCTCAGTCTTACCCCAATCCTGATGTCAGTCCCATTCTACCACAGTGGCACCATGTAGTATTTGTCCTTTTTTGACTAAGATATTTCACTCAGCATAATGTCCTCCAGGGTCACCCATTTTGAATAATATTGCATGAGTTCCTTGTTTTTCAATGCAGCGTAGTATTCCATTGTGTGAATATAACACAGTTTCTCTGTCCATTCATTTGTTGATGGGCCCTTGGGTTGTTTCCAACTCCTTGCTATTGTGAACAAAGCTGCAATAAACATGGGTGTGCATATATCTGCTTGGATGTTGGTTATGATCTCTTTAGGATATATTCCCAGTATTGGAATTGCTGGGTCAAATGGTATTTATATTTGCAACTTTTTGAGAAAGCGCCATACCACCTTTCATAGTGGTTGTACCACTTTACTCTCCCACCAACAGTGAATAAGGGTTCCAGTTTCTCCACAACCTTGCCAGCATTTGTTGTTTGCTGTCTGTTAAATTTTGCTATTCTGACTGGGGTGAGATGATATCTCATAGTTGTTTTGATTTGCATCTCTCTTAGAGCTATGGATTTTGAACATTTCTTCATGTGCTTGTGGTCATCTGGATGTCTTCTTTGGTGAAGTGTCTGTTTATATCCTGAACCCATTTTTCAATTGGATTATTTATCTTGTGCTCAAGTATTTTATAAATTCTAGATATAAGTCCCTTATCTGACATGTCATTACCAAATACTTTTTCCCAATTTGTGGCTTCCCCTTTTTACCCTGTTGAAGTTTTTGGATGTGCATAGGGATTTGATTCTTAGAAGGTCCCATTCATATATTTTATCTTCTCCTGGTTGTAGAACTGATATGTATTTTTTTTTAAATTGTGTTTTTTATTCTTGTGATGTTTGATTATAAGTAAACGGGTACCTGGAGGAGACAGTGGCGTACAGCTGGGCACTGTTTTCCAAACCAAAGAGGAAAGTTGGAGAGCAGGAGAGGGGGAGGATGAGCGGTGCTGGCTGCTGTCCTCAGCTTTCGTTCACTTGATTCCTGGTGCCCCACGCCCACCCGTGTGGGCAGAACAGACCTGCACTCTAGTACTTTGTCTTTCAGAAGCCATCACCGGGCCTGTCTGCCGCGGTGCCTCTCTGTGGGTTTTGAACCACCATCCTGTCAGCTAGTAGGTGAGTGCTTAACCGTTTGCAGCTTTGTGGCAGCTCTGGATGATTTTAATCTTGTACTAAAATCCCTGGTGGCGCCTGAGAACTGGAAGAGGATGGACGACTCAGACTTGCTGACTCGGGAGTGGTTTCGTTATTTGCAGACTTTTGTTCTGAGCGCTTAGATGTACCAGGGCCTCTTGTTCTGCAGTTAACTTGACACCCACAGGGACTGGAGAAGATGACGCATCGTATTTTGAAAAGCCAGTTTAGCAAAGCAGCATGGATGACAGTTCAGTCTGACAGAGAGCCCCCAGGGCTCAGGGCCCAGCTTCACAGGAGGCCGTTTCCCAGAGCCCAGGCTGCTGCCGTAAACAGTCCCCAGGTAGACCAGAGGCCTCGCAGGCCTTTCGGTAGCTTATAGGTGTCCTGGACAGTGCCATCGACGACAGAGTGCTTGGGACAATGGACACACCTTCTCTCATGGTTCTGGGGCTCTGAGTCTGAAATGACCGGGTGGGTGTGGTTCCTGCTGTGCTAACTTCTGTGCAGCCAGAACCGGCCAGGGAGCCCTAGTGGCGTGTAACCGGGCGGGCTACTATCTAAAAGGTCATCGGCTCAAATTCATTAGCCACATTTTGGGAGAAAGATGGGCATTTTCCTCTCATAAATATGTACAGCTTTGGAAAGCTGGTGGAGAGCCCGTATGAACTGAACTTGACCCAAAGGCAGTGAACTTGGGGTTTTAAAAAGTTAGCAAACTTTTTTTTGTTTAGAACCTGGGTAGGTCAAGACACGGTGGAGGTTGTTAACTGCTGCCTGTATGGTCTAGTCAGTTTTAACTCTTAAAGACACAAATGTCAGTAGTCTGTTCTGATCCATAGGGTTTTCATTGGCTCTATTTTGGAAGTAGATTGCCAGGCCTTTCTTCCTAGTCTCTCTTAATCTGAAGGCCTGCTGAAACGTGTCCCACCTGGGTAACCCGGCTGGTGTTTGACATACGGATGGTGTAGCTTGCAGCATCACAGTCTTTGCAAACCACCATGGTGCAAGGAGATGCCGAAAGATGGAGGCGGGAAGACACAACAGGCATTCCAGTATGTGTGTCCAGGGCTCGAGTGAGGACCACTCATTGTGGACAGAAACGCTGAGTGGCGAGTCCTCTGGGGAGCTGGGGGTCAGGGCCCCCAAGGCCTGTGCAATGATGTCTGCACACACAGGAGAGTGTTTGAGACAGGCTGGAACCGTGCCAGGCCCTGTCCTTTCTCCCTAGAGAGAACCTTTCACTCTTTGCTGAACCAACGCTTTAGAGCTTGGAAATTGATCTCCAGGGCCTGAAATCAGAGTCCATGATGCCTTTATGCTGAGAGAGAGGCATGCCCGGCTTTCCCAACGCTTCCTGAATAGAATACAAAATTCCCTTGGGCTTTCCAGCTGCCTTTGCTGGGGCTGGCAGCAAAGAGGTAGGAAAAAGCTTCTCTGCCCGCTGCCCCTGTGTTTCTCAGGGGGCAGCCCTGGCACTGGCTGTCCTAGTGGGGAGCATTTTCCTCCCCCGACTGCCGTGCCTTCCTTGGCATCCTGTCCTCAGAAGGCTGGGTGGATTTGCTTCTAATTCACATCAGATACTTGGGGTCATGAATTAGTCACTCGGCAAGGCTTCTCTGTGTTTTATCTCTCACAGGCTTCCGGTTTGCTTACAGATTGTCCCTGATTCATTTAGAGAGAGATCTGGCTCCTTCTTCAGAGCTTAGATTGCAAAACGAATTTTATCTTTGCAGAATTTTCAAACAGACACTAAGTATAATCTGTCCTTAGGAAAACTTTCTAAATGTTAAAACCCCAAACCTGCTTGCCGAGAACCAGCTCTGCCTCACAGGGATTCCCCGTCAGGTCTCCAGGCTTGTAAATCTTCACAGCAGCCAACTGCTCATCTTACCCTCGGAGCAACTGGTGGATTTGAACTGCTGACATTTGGGTTAAGAGTCCAACACATTAGAAACTCTGCCATCAGAGCTGCTTTAAATCCTGGATAGTTTGATTGTACCACTTCTGAAGTGTAAGATGTTTTAGCCTTTATTTTAAAGGAGCCGTGGTGGCAAATGAGAGAAGGATGGGCAGTGTCTTCCTGTTAAGATTTACCGCCTCAGAAACGTGACGGAGGGTCGCTAAGAGTCATGACCGCCTTGATGGCTGAGGGCCTGGCTTTGGTACGAGGACCTCTGGTGGTATAGTGTGTATGTGTCTAACTAGTAACTGAAGGTTGGTGGTTCCAATCCACCCACAGTTCTGATGGAGGAAAAGGAGGCTGTCTCTTCCAGTAAGTTACGATTTACAGCCTGGGAAACATGGTCGAGGGTGAGTTAGGGTCTACATGCTAGCAGGGGGGTTGCCTCCTTTTTTTCCTCTTTTCTTTCTGTTGCTTATAAGGAACTCTGGTGGCGCGTTGCTTAAACTTGTGCCCACTGAACTTGATCAGTCCAGTGAGGGTTGGTGGGTAGAACCCTGCCAGCATTTCTCAGGGAGAAGGATCTGGAAGGCAGCGTCCTTGATGGTGACGGCTGGGGAAACTCTGTGCAGTGACTCTGCTGACCTCGGCTTGATGGTCCCCAACGACAGCCACAACGTTTACTAAGGAAAAGTGACAGCCCATCACACTCACCATCGGTATCCTGTCGTCAGTATTACGTTCAGTTTGATGCAAACTCAGAGTGTGATGGGCAAAGAGTGAGACTCCCATATGAAGGTGGCACCATGGCCGGAGCAGAGTTGAGGAGGGGCCAGGAGAGGTGAAGGCCAGACGTGGAATTAGCCTGGGCCGACAGGGCATAGCCTAACCCTGGTCTGGAGACTGGGGGGCTGGGGTGCGTGCTGCCATCAGAGGCACTGTGTGTGTTCCCGTCACTGGGAAGGGAGAGCATAGGGGGGCTTGCTCCAGAGTCGAGGGGTGCACGTGTGAGGCTCAGCTTCACCTCTTACCAGCGTGTGGTCTTGTCATTGGTGTGCTGACCCCTATTCGTCCTGTGGTGCACAAAATCATGGACTGGACGCTCCTGAGGTCTCCTTCTCCTCCAGGATTCCAGTTCGTGGGCTTGAGCATGTGACGTCAGGAAGTCAGAGAGAAACATCTACGTCAACATCCTCACACACACAGACATACGTAGAACACACATGCAAACCCCCACATGTGGTTCTGTGAGAGTGAGTGTGCATCCTCACAGAGCCAGACAGGAATACATGTAGCGATACATATGTCAACAGGGAGCTCTCGTGGCTTGGAGGAAAAGGACCTGTGCTACCAACCAAAAGGTAGGTGGTTCAAATCCACCAGCTGCTCAGTGGGAGAAAGATGGGCAGTCTCCATCCATGTGATTTACTGTCTCTGAAAACCCACTGGAGGCTTAGCTATGAGTCAGTTCTGACGTGATGGTACAAAACAACATGTATGTCAATATATGCACACACACTGCCCCCTGCAGACCCCACAGATACACATTCATGTAACACAGGGTTCTGTAGGCGTGAATACGAATCATCAGAAAAGTCATAGATAAATCTATAGCTGTGTGTACACACCCCCCCATACACATGCGTGTCAATCACAGACCACACATACTCCACGGATGGTTCTGCGGACGTGAGTGTGAGGTGCTGGAAAATCAAACAGAAATATGTACATATTTGTGTGTGTGTGTGTGTGTGTGTGTACATACCACCACCACCTATGCACACCACACACTCCTCATAAAAACACAAATACTGCACCATATATACACATATACCATAATGCAAATACACATACACGCAACACAGTTGTACACACAATATACACCTACCAAAGCCAGCGTACATACACACCACACACATACACATGCCACACACATCCATACCACAAATACCACATCCCAGCACACCACACACTCCACCTGTACATACCACAGACACTTCCTCCACCCCCACCGCCCTGCATCCACACCACACACACATCCACACACACACACTGAACAGCTGAAGCACGAATGAAGGACTGTCCACAGTGCTGTCCAGATGGTGGTCTGGCAGCTCTGGCTTCCACTCAGGCTGTCCCCGTCTCTAACCGGGAATGTGGGTGCGGTGCGTGCTGGGTGGATGGAGGATGCTATGCAGAACCAGGGAACGTGGGTGCTGGGTGGGTGGAGGATGTTATGTTGAATCAGGGAATGTGGGTGCTGGATGGATGGAGGATGTTATGTGGAATCAGGGAACATGGGTGCTGGGTGCACAAGGTGATGTTACGTGGCATCAAGGAATGTGGGTGCTAGGTGGATGATGTTACACGGAATCAGGGAACGTGGGTGCTGGGTGGCTAGAGGTTGTTATGTGGCATCAGGGAATGTGGGTGCTGGGTGGATGAGCGGGTGCTATGTTGAATTGGGGAATGTGGGTTCAGCTAGTGGTTGTGGTGGGTGAGTAGAGGTTCAGTGTCTTCTCTGTGTGTGACTAGCCCCTCTGTCTCCTCAGTGGACGAGGCCTCCCTGGATGCCCCCACGCCCTCGTCACAGCGCTCGGAGCCCCCGCTGGAGGGCAGCCCCCTGCCCAGCACCACACACGTGGCCTTAACAGAAAGCAGCTCACCGCTCCTCCCCGCTTCTCACACCACCTTTTTTGACCAAGGACAAACGGCCCCCAGCATCCTCATGGGGAACTACGTGTCACTGAGGAACAAGGAGGTGGTCCCAGAAGATGACGAGATGGACAACTTTCTGCCAGACGCCCCCTGGACCACAACGCAGGCCCTCCCTCCCGCAGAGGATGTCACAGCCAGCCCACGAGGACTGCCCACAGACATCCCAGGAGCTGTGCTGACCCCATCCATACCCCTCAGTTCTCTTCATGTCCAAAAGGTGGCATCTGCTTGGTACCCCAGCACACAGCCAGCCCCCACAGACGCTGACCCCCAGGCTGGCCATTCCAGCCCGACTCCATCAGCCCTCGCCACCTCCAAGGGCTTGGCTCCGACCCTGAGCGGGAACTTGGTGCTCTATCCCACCCACAGCGTTGGGCTCTGGTCCAGTGGGACTGTGCCTGAGATGGTGGCTTCAGATGGGGAGGCTGGGGTGACCCCAGCCTTCAGTGTCCTGTCTTCAGTGCCTGAGACAATGGTCCATGGCCTTACTCGGCAGCCATTTCTTCCCTCGGTGGAGGCCACCCAGCTCCCCGAGCAGGTTCTAGAAGCAAGTAAGGATGACAGCTATGTGGAGGTGACCCCCACGTCCAGCTATGGCCTCGTGGGCACCATTTACCCGTGGATGTACCTGGCCACCCACCTCCCTGACACAGCCTTCACTTCCCGCAGCCACACAAATGACACTTGGTTTTCAGCCCCTTTGGCGTTTGAACCGTTTTCTACTTTATCGGCTGATGTTTCCCGTCACCTGTTTCTTGCTGACACTTCCAGTGCCATGTCTGCATTGCCCGATACCTCGGGGGTCCCCAGTCAAGTGGCCGAGGTGCCCATCCTGAGCCCCACACCACTCTCTGAAGTGCAGGCCTGGGTCTCATCCTGTGACCCGTTGCCTCAGTGGCCTCTGTCCTCGAGTCTCTTGGAGAAAGACATGGGCTCAGGTGACGGTCCGGAGACCTTGACCTTGACCAGCTGGCAAGCGAGCAGCCTCGGCCCACCAGCCAGTGTAGACATGACAGGCTTCCCTGAGTTTGAGGAGAACCCTCCTGAGTTTAACACGCTTTTCCCCTTGCGGCCTGTGGTCTCTCTCTCTTCTCCACCAGTGGTGACCTCAGACTTGAGCCTCGGAACAGCAGAGGTGGACACGCGTGGTGTCGTCTCCACTCTCATTCCTCCGCTGCATGACAGCCCTTCTGTCACTACGTCGCTGGACACTGTGGCCTTCAGCCCCCCCTGGCTTGTGGCCTCAGAAGTCATGCTGTCCAGCGTGGCGTCCATGCTTCCCTCCGTCCTCAACAGCGTTCACCTCCACTCATCTTCCTCGATCACGATGGACGTAAGCACCCTGAGGCTTGAGACCACAGAGCCAGGCCCTTCCATGCCCCAGAGTCTGGACCCTTCAGTTGACTCTTGGCTTTTCTCTCACCAAGAATCATCTCATTTTTCCCAGCACGAAATCACAAGTACTTTGGATTTTGTCTCTGGCTTCTTCTCAAGGCCTTCGCTGGAGCTCAGCGGCTTGGAGTCTCCGTCCTCACGAGTTCTGGCGTCCACGTCCTCTGTGCCCAGTGGACGGTGGACACCCACTTCTCAGGCCTCGTCTGTACTGGCGGAGTCCTTCACGTCGTCTGCCTCTGTCAGCTGGTGGCCTTCTCCGTCTCCCCCTAATTCCACGCACCTTGGCTCTTCCCAGCTCTGGCCAAGTGAGGATCTTCTTTCTAGCACGTTGCCTCTTCCACCTGGACCCTCTGAAATGCCGCCATCGCTGTCCAGTTTCCCAGCTGATTCTTCCACGTCCTCTGAAGCACCATCGATTTTGCTGACAGACTCTGGCCCTCATCTTACCTCAGTTTTTTCTGAAACTACCTCTCATTTTGAGTTCTCGCTCATTTCCCATGACTTTTCAGTCACTACACTGGCACCTTCCAGTTCTGCGTCTGCCTTTGACCTTGTAGTTGATGGGACTGTCTTAACATCATTGACTGTGTCTCATCCTCCACTCACGTCCACGCAGTCATCTTTCTTTCCAACTCCCATGCCTCCTGACGATGGCATCACCTCCACACATTACCACACGTCTGTCCTCCCCTCCTCTTCCACCATCACCCCCACCATGACCTCCTCAATAGTGGATGTGTCCCTGCCACCCATGTCCTCATTTGTCTCTGAGGTGACCCCTTCACCGTTCCTCACAGAGCCAATGTCTGTGGCCCCATCCTTGGTACCCACAGATTTACCAGCCAACACCTCCACTGAACCCAGCCCGTCTAATTCCAGTGCGGCTGCTGTTGGCACCGTTGACCCCACTCCCAGCCAGAGCAGCAAGAATGGAAGTGAGGATCTGCACGAGGCCTCCACAGCTCCTCCCCAGCCCTCACCTCCTCCGGGGACCACAGCCACTCCTGGAGCCATACTCGACACACCAGCCGTGGTCACCAGCAAGCCGCCGTATGTGTGTGATATCACCGTCCCCGATGCCTATCTCATCACAGCTGGTAAGGCCGCCTGCTTACGTCACTTCTCCTGGGGGGAGGGGTGATCCTGCTAAACTGGGTAATATCAGTAGTTAGTACACTAGGCTAACTGAAAGGTTGGAGGTTTGAGTCCACCCTGAGGTGGCTTGGTGTTCTGCATCTGAAATGTCAGTCATTGAAAACCCCATTGTAAAAAGGGTAAGGGCCACATGAGGATGGCAATACCTGACCTTCACCACCTTTACAAAGGGCACTGTTCCCTTTAGCGGTGTCAGCAACACAAAACGAATTCCCATGAGCTCACACACGCCCGCCATGCTGCTGTACCTTTTCACTCATCTCAGCGCCACTATTACAGCTTTACTGGTTCCTGAATCCAGTGAGCTTGCTCACAGACCATTCGGAATCAAAAGGTTATAATCCACGTTACTAGCAAAATAGTCAAGATGGCTTCTGAAACGTCCTTGCGGGTGCCTCAGCCTTGAGCCTCACGGCTTTAGACCCACGCTACAAAGCTCCTTGCTTCTTGTTGTGGACTGTAGAGTCGGAACCGACCCATAGCTGACCCTGCAGAGAGTTAATAGCATGGGAGGAGACTGCCCATCCTTCTCTTGTGGAGCAGCTGGTGGCCTCGAACCTTGTGCCTTCAGAGTTGCAACGCAGCTTGTTGCTACTAGGCCACCAGAGCTCTTAGTCCTGACAGTCCTGGCGCTCCCCTCCCCAGTCCTCCTACAAACTTGGGCAAAGGCTCCTAGCTCGATTCCGTGGCGTAGCCGTCCCGAAGCCCACTCTGTCTCACGTCAGGTCTCCGGCGTCTGCTGTGGCTGTTGTGTCTGTTGCTCCCCTAGGACCTCGTCTGGCTGGTACAAGAGTCTCTGGTCCTCAAGGATGAGTTGCATTCTCTTGCTTCTTCTTTTTCTGGTGGGAAAGATTTTTCTAATTGTGCTGCTGAATCCACTCAATTTAATGGGGACACTAGCTACTCTGCTTGTGGCTTGATGAGACTAGCCAGTCCCTCGTGGATAAGCTAGCACACACGTCACATATTCCTGTCCTTCCATGTGGCAGAGTGAGGAAGGGAGCTTGTGTAAACCCTTAACACCGCACCCATGGAGCCCAGTTCTACTCCGACACCTGTAGGGTCTCCATGAAGAGGAGTTGAGAACATAGCAATCCCCTCCCTCCACCCTCCACTACATGAAATGCTTAGGAGGCATTAGCATAGCAGATGGGGGTCAGAAAATCCCTGGGTGGGAGCCTTCAATCCTTGCCCACTCTTCTGGGTTATATGGTCTGTAATGTCACCCCTGCGAGCTCAGTCTCCTCACTTATTAGATAAAGATGATAGTGATGTCTGTGTCACTGGGGTATCGTAAAGATTTGATGGTATTACGTGCTGGTAGCCTTCCTGCCCCAGGGCCTGGCATGCAAGAAGCACACATAAAACCACTACTGATTAATAAGAGAACCAGCAAGAATGAATAAAAGATTAAAATCCACCCAGAAAGGTCTTGGTGGCACCTGTGTTTATAACCCACTGGGCACACAGATGGCATCATTAAAGCAGACTTTCACATTTCACCCCTTTGACGAGATGGACGCTGTATACGGGCACCTAGAGCAATTTCTTCTTCTTTTGCTGGTCTTTCTTTTCCCTGAAAGAGGAGAACTTTGCCTTTATATAGTCCTGTAAATCCCCTAGACAGGGAGCTCTGGTGGCTTAGTGGTAAGCAATTGCCCTGCCAGCACAAAGGTATGTGGTTCAAATCCACCAGCTACCTACCCTATGGGAGAGAGCTGGGCAGTCTCCTCTTGTGCGATTGGCTGCCTTTGCAAACCTGCCGGAGGGTCAGCTCTGGTTCGGTTCTGACTAGGTGGTACACCACAACACCCTGAGGGGAGAAAGACCCAGACTGACCAAATCATACCTGAACTTGGTTCAGACCTTGCCCTCTGCTAGGTCTGCAGCCCGAGTTACCAGCCGATCACGGGGCAGTTTTCTTACAGTTGTGCGGGTGGCCTCAGCTCTGATCATCCGTGGTTCGCGCGCTCGTGAGCAGATACAGGACTCACTTGAAGGGTAACTTCTGCTGACAGGCCCACTGGTCCAGGGTCTCCACTTTGCCTTCACGGGACATGACTTCTGTGGTCGGTGACACCTTGTGACAGCCAGGACGGATACATCCCATAGACACTGCAGGTTTAGTTCTATATCACCCCCAAAGGCCATAAAGTGAATTTTGGTTTCTTCATACTTGTAAAAGTTAATTCCCTGTTAAGTGGGGAAAAGCATGAGGAAGATGTTTGGAATACGGTAAGAATGACTAAAATGTGATCGAGAGACAAGAAGTGAGCTTGTGCTGTTGGAAACATGGCGCCTGCAGACTTGTTCCACACCGGGTTGTCATCCGCCGTCAGCGTCTGCAAGGTGCAGTGGAGTGCAGTGCAGTCAAGCATGGCGCGCACATACTTAGCGTGTGTCAGGAGCTTCTGGAAACGCTAGCAAACTGTGGGTGAATGAAGACTTGGTCCCAGCCTTCGAGGAGCTCTGCCTCCAGTGGGGACAGGTCATGCTCTGAGAACCCTTGGTGGTTGCAGGAACAATGGCTGAAGCAGAGTTCCAAAAGGAAGAATAGACTTGGTCTCCAGTCTTCATAGATCCCCCATTTGCTAAGTTACCTGCTTGCATTTTTGGTCATTTACAAGTTGAAAGAGGGCAGAATGCCTCTGTTACTAATTTTAAAACTTAAAAAGAAAAATGGAACACAAAGCCGTAACATTTTCTGGTTCTGCTTTCCGAGATGTTTGTACACGAGGAAAGCATACAAAACGGTGAAAAAGTGGAGTGTGGAGACAGGCTTTGACACCTAGGAAAGGAGCCTTTTATCTCAGTGCAAATTTTTAGTAGAACTTTTTAGATGCGAAGAAAGTTTAATATCAATAAGATTCTTTTATGAGGAATATTTTGTTACCTACATCAATACAGAGGAATTGTCACGATCTTTTTCATCTGATGGTTAATGGTAGGATCTTTTTACTGCTCTGAAAAGTGAGGCTGGAAGACCTTTTTTTAAAATTTATTTTATTTTATTCTTTCTACTAGTTTATTTACAAAATTCTAATACAAATTCAAACAAATTCTTTCAATTTCCCCCATCACACTCCCCAACAAATTGTACAGTCCAATGATTAATTCCCTCTTCCCCCTGCACATCCACATCCCTCTGCTTCCAGCCTCTCCCACCCCTCCTGGATCCTTATACTCATTCTACAATAATGGTCTTATACAATATTTATCCTTGTGGGACTGAGTTCACCCGGCATAATGTTCTCCAGTCCCGCCCTAGGATCCAAAGTTATTCCTCCTGTATGCTGCATAGTATTCCATTGTGTGAATGTACCATACTTTCTCAATCCATTTGTTTGTGGTTGGAGATTTGGGCTGTTTCCATGTTCTTGCGATGGTGAATAATGCTGCTATGAATGTTGGTGTACAAATCTCAGTTTGTGCCTTAGTTCTCATATTCTCAGGGTATATTCCAAGTAGTGGAATAGCTGGGTCATATAGAATTTCTATGTTCAGGGTTTTTTTTGTTATTAATTTTAATGAAAATTTACAGAGACTTAGGTTTTTCAGTCATTCATTGTTGCACTCTTCTCCCTGCCCACCCTCTCCACCCATGTTCAGCTTTTTGAGCAAGCGCCAAAATGCCTAGGGTTGAAGACCTTTTATAGAGAATGTGAAGTAGTTTATTATTTTTCTAATCAATTTAGAAAAATTATTTGAGGGAGAATTTCAGAGGAACTTGGTTTTTCATTCAAGGTTCATCTACATCTTGTTTTGTAACTATCTCCGTGATGTGATGACACTTCCCACTTCCTGGCGGGGATTCTTATTTCTGCTAATCCATCCTCCCTGCCCCTTCGTGCCTTCTGGGCATTCTCCTTGGACAAGTACTGCTCTTCTGACCGTACATGATTGGTTATTCTAGGGTGTAAGTGTTTCCCTGTGTGACTGTTCACCTTACAGACTTGTCTACTGTTTAGCTGAAAGTGGAGCCAGAAGGGTGAGTTTTGTTCCACATTTAAGGGTGTCTAAAGGCTGTAGACGAGGCCTTTCCACCAGTTTCTTTCAGAATAGTTAACCTGGACCTTCTTTTTTAATAAACAAAATTTTTCTTTTATACTGGTTTACTTAGAGTTTGTATACATTGTTTTTCACACCGGATCTTTCCTATTTCCTTTATCCACCCCTCCCTGCACCCATCAAATTGTGTGACTCTATGATTAACCCCCCCACCCAATCCTCATCCCTCTGCTCTCCCCCCTTGGATCCTCATACTCGTTCTACACTAATGGTCTTATACAGTATTTGTCTTATGGGACTGAGTTAGTTCACTCCGCATAATATTCTCCAGTCCCTCCCAAATTTTAACAAGTGTTTTGAGTTCCCCCCACATTTTGTGTCACTCTACTGAAAATCTTCTGTGATTCCTTTCAAGTGTTCATTGATGGTGGTCAGGATCTGGTTTGGTTGGGTAACATCTCAAGGTCTTTTAATATACTGGAACGTTATGGAAATAACATGAGTGCTGTTTTGTTGAAAACTGCACAAACTCCTTGATGTTCTTACTCAGAGTTTTAAAGCCTCCCATTAGCCATGAGTGCCTGTGTTGGTTACCCAGGGCTGCAGGAACAAAAGGCCACAGCTGAATGGTTTAAGAGAACACAGTCTCAGAGCCCTGGAGGCGGGCAGCAGAGGGCAGGAAGTTGGTCCCTCCAAGGCTCCTGTCTCTCTCCTGGCTCCTGGTGGCTCCAGGCGTCCCTTGTTAGGCAGCTTCAGTGTCACCTGATACCTTGCTTCTATCTCCCTGTCCCTGTGTCCCTCCTCCTCTTTTATAAGGACATCACTCACATGGGATTAGGACCCACCCAGCTCCACTCTGACCTCATGTTACCCTAACTGATACCTTTCAAAGACCTATTTCCAAACGGGATTGTGTTTGCAGGTACAGAGGCAGAGTGAACAGGCCTTTTTGGGGGGGGAGAGACAGAGTGCAATCCCTAAAAGGGCAATCTCAATCTCTCCCTAAGAGAAGGATTGGCATTTACTCGGATCAAGTGGACAAAGAACCTTAGCCCTGGTGGGCCCCAGCTCGTCTGTCCCAGCTGCACCCTGAGATGCTGGGAGCAGTTTCCCCCCTAACTTCAAGATCTCCACCTCCGTGGAAGTTGTTAGCAGCACTTAGACCTACAGTGCTTGATTTCCATCTGGGTTTTGTTTCCAAAAGCAGCCGTGGGCGCCGCTGGCACACACTGCCCAGTGAGCCTCTGCCAGGACTGCGTCCTTCCTGATGAAACTAATGTTCTTGTCCTTGGCTTGAACCGCAGTGCTGGCCCGCAGAGCTGTGCAGGAGTACATCATCATGTCCATCAAGGAGGTGCTGCGTGTCCACTTCAACCGGGCTGTGGAGCTGAAGGTGAGTCCCTGATGGAGGGCAGGGTCGGGTACAGGCTCACCAGTGTGGCTGATCGAGCTTCTCCATTCTCCTGGTGAACCCCTGCTCAGCCTCCTCAGAGCAGCCTTTCCTGACCCTCTGAGGTCAGATTCTGTCTCCTAGTAGTGCCTCAATGAGGCTGGTCACTCACCCAAAAGTTGCTGGTTCAGTCCTGCCTTGTGGCACCATGGAAGAAAGTCTTGGTGGTTTACTTCCATGAAGACGTCAACCAAGAAGCCCCATGAGCTGCTGTGCTTAGTCACATGTGAGGAGGGGGTCGCCTTGATTCCAAGACGGCGCCGCTGCAGCGGTGTGGGCTTGGTTTGTTTTTCTAATTAGTGAGAGAGTGAGTGGGAGGACAAGTGGCTGTTTGGTCTGGGTTACATGAAAGGATTAGAGGTTCCATTATGTTTCAGAGCGAGTGTCATACTTTTCATGCAAATGATGCACATGGGGTATGCCAAGACTGTTTATTACCAGATTATGTCATTTCCCAGTGTTAATTATGTGGACACTTCTCCCCGAACTTTTTATGTTGAATTGGGTGAAAGTCTACAGAGCACATTCATTTTTTGACAACAATTCGTACACTGATGCAGTTCCCATGCCGTGATGGCGTCCTCCCCTCCACAGTTCCCACACTGTCATGGGGCCCTGCCCTCCACAGTTCCAACGCCATCACGGCGCCCTGCCTTCCATGGTTCCCACGCCGTGAGGGCACCCTGCCTTCCACGGTTCCCACGCCGTCACGGCGCCCTGCCTTCCATGGTTCCCACGCCGTAAGGGCACCCTGTCCTCCACGGTTCCCACGCTGTGAGGGCACTCTGCCCTCCATGGTTCCCACGCCGTCACAGCATCCTGCCTTCCATGGTTCCCACGCCGTGAGGGCACCCTGTCCTCCACGGTTCCCACGCCGTCACGGCGCCCTGCCCTCCATGGTTCCCACACCGTGAGGGCACCCTGCCCTCCATGGTTCCCACGCCGTCACAGTGCCCTGCCTTCCATGGTTCCCATACCGTGAGGGCACCCTGTCCTCCATGGTTCCCACACCGTGAGGGTGTCCTGTCCTCCGTGGTTCCCATGCCGTCACAGCGCCCAGCCCTCCACAGTTCCCACGTCGTCACGGCGCCCTGCCTTCCATGGTTCCCACGCTGTCATGGCGCCCTGCCCTCCACGGTTTCCACACTGTCGCAGCGCCCAGCCCTCCATGGTTCCCAAGCCATCATGGCACCCAGCCCTCCATGGTTCCCACACCGTCACGGTGCCCTGCCCTCCATGGTTCCCACGCTATCATGGCACCCTGCCTTCCACCTGCATGTGCTGGTTATTTATGGGTTGTTTTTTTTTTGAGAAAAATTTGTATTTAGAATTAGCCAGCTGGACTCAGTTTAGATGATCCCAATTTTGTTGGCAACATCCAAAGCATCATAGTCAGGAGTAGTTTGAACATAGGCCTTCTTCTCTCCATCAGGCCTGATCAAAGTGTTGACCTTGGCCACATCAATGTCACAGAGCATCTGTACAACTTGTTTAATTTGGTGCTTGTTGGCCTTGACATCCACAGTGAACACAAGTGTGTTGTTATCTCCTGCCTTCTTCATGGCCGACTCAGTGGTCAGGGGAAACTTGATGATGGCATAGTGGTCAAGCTTGTTTCTCCTGGGAGCCTCTTCCGGGGGTATTTGGGCTGCCGTCGGAGTCTCAGCGTCTTAGGTCACCAGAAGGTGGATAACGTGCGGATATTCTTTTTTTTTTTTTTGGCTGTGGACGCCCTTCAGGACGCCTTCTTGGTCTTTAATGCCTTTGCTTTGGCTTCAGTTTTGGGAGGGGCAGGGGCTTCCTTCTTCACTTTCGGTGCCACCTTCATAGAAAGGCCCCGTTTGTCCCTCTTGCCTACACCTTCCTGCCTGCGGACTTTTGCCCCCAGGCACTGGCTTTCCTTTTGATCTGTGATGACAGGTCCTTTTGATTGTTCTCAGGACTGTGCTCTTCTAAGGTGTTGTTGGCTTATAGGTTGGTCTGTTGTTTTGCTGACCATTGAACTACAGGGGTGAGTTCAGGCTTGAAGGGTGTCCAAGGTCTGTAGGCTTGAGGGTTCTCCCATCTCTGTCAGCTTAGTAAATAGTCTGTCCTGTTATTTGCCAAAAATATGGTATTTTTCTGTATATTCAATTTCTGGGTCTTGTATAGTGACATTATGCTACTTCTCCTTGTACCTGGATGAGCTCAGGAAAGTCACATTCTATGCTATGATGTCCCCGAGGAGAGCCTCTGTGGGTAACTAAGAAGGTGGGAAAGGGCCTGTCCCAGGGAGATGTGTGGTGGGCTGTTGAGTCTGAACCAACTCCTAGCTGACCCTCCAGCAGGTTTTCAGCGGCAGTAAATTGCATGAGAGGAGGTTGCTCATCCTTCCCAGTGGAGCACCTGGTGGGTTTGAACTCTGTGCCTTTGGGATTGCAGTGCAGCTCTTATCGCTGTGTACCATGCACAGGAACAAAACCGTGTCTGCTCTCGTGATGTCCTCACCATCTCTGTCCTGCTAAGCCTCATCCTGTCAGTCTGTTTCATTGGACATCTTCCTCTTTCTCTGACCCTCCACCTTCCCCAGCATGATGTCCTTTCCCAAGGACTGACCCCTCGTGACAACACGCACAAAGTCTGTGAGCTGAAGTTTCACCATCCTGTTTCTAAGGAGCGGAGGCTCTTGCTGTGTGTTCCCAAGACAGACTTGTTTGCTGTTTTGTCTGCACCTGGGGCATTCAGTCTCTTCTCCAACACTGCAATCCGAAGGTACAATGTGAAGAAACACTGCTCCCTTCATTTCACATGACCACCAGTTTCTGATTTCTTTTATCAACACAACATCTGTGTGGTTTGATTTACAGCCCCCTTGCAATTAACGGTAGCATTTCCCTTGTTCTCTTTGTGTCTCAGGTCTATGAGATCTTCCCCGACTTCACTTTCCTGGTGACGTCCAGCCCGTTTGTGTACACTGCGATATCGGTGATAAACGTGCTTGTTGGGAGCAAGCTGGTGCGTGACCAGACACCTCTAATCCTGTCCCTGCGACCATCCTTCTCGCTGCCCGATGCCAGGTTCCAAGTCCAGACAGGTGAGAAAAAGGGGCTGCTTTGACGGGTAAATAGAATCGTGTTTTATATTTCATAGATTGAAAACTGTTCCAGGCAGTGCTCATTTTACTGTGTTTCACAGGTACCACATCTTGTGTGTTTTGTTTTAACTTGTGGCAATCCTGTGTCGTGCACGCCTGTCGGTGCCACTTTCCAGCTCTGTGTGTTCACTCAGTGTCTCTGTGGCACGTTCTGGCCATTGTTGCAATGTTTCAGACTTTCCACTCACTGTTGCATGTTTCATTATGTGCTGCGAGTACTGCTTTGACATGCACTGGAAACGAAAAGATGCATGTGACCTGCTCTATTTCGATATTCACTTTACTATAGTGATTTGGAACTGAGCCTACAAGATCTCCGAGTTGTGCTTCCCTTTCACTTTAAAAAGCTTTGCAGCGGTGTGCAATCTCAGATGTACACAGACATGCACAGAGAGCTTAATAAACTCATGTTGCCATCAGCCAGCTCCAACAAGGATGCCAAACCTTCATCTCTCATACTTTGGACATGTTTCTGGGGGCAGGGGGGGGGCTAAGCCAAAGAGAGGAAGACCCTCCATCGAGATGGTCTGACGCAGTGACTGCAGCAGTGGGCTCCAGTGTGTCAGAGATGGTGAGGATGGCACAGGATGGACAGAGCTCAGATCTGTTGTTCATAATTGCTCCAATCAGTGGCACCTAACAGCAACCACACATGCATGCATACACAAGTGTGTATGTGTGTGTTTATGTTGCTGTTGTTGCATACTATCAAGTGAGAACCCGCTCATAGCTGACTTTCCAGTGGGTTTTCAGAGGCAGAAAATCACATGGGAGGAGATTGCCCATCTTTCTCCCTAGAGCAGCTGGTGGGTTACGTGGCTTTGGTGGCAGCTCAGCTCCTCCCCACTAGGCTACCAGCGCTCCCTACGTATGTTTATACACAGGCGTAATAGCTATCGGCAGCATATTATCATCACCTCCAATATTAACAATTATCTTTTAATATAATTTCCATTTTTACTATGGGTATTTTAAAACATATAAGAAAGTAGATAGAAAAGTATATTAAGTCCACATATAGTTGTCACTAAACTTTAAAAATTATCAACTTCTTGTCAGTTTTATTTCACCTATCCTCCACAAAGCCTGGAAGCAGGAGCGGCATCCATTTCTGAAATGCCTTGCCTCTGGAAACTCTGTGCACGAACAGTGCTCAAGGCCTTTCGTTCATAGGGTCACTGTGAGTCGTCTACGACTCGACGGCACCTCACAACAACAACAATCCTCCATAAGCTCATTTAAGGAAGTTAGAATGTGTCATGGGTGGGGGTGGGGAGGTTTGTTAGGAGTCAGTCAACTTGATAATACCTAACAATGACAAGGACTGTTGTGTATCATTATTATTATTATCATTATTTTTTAGAATAAACACCTTTAATCCATGTGTTAAAGTGGGAGGGGGAGATTATTTGCCTGCTGTGTCTTGATTTTCCTCTGACAGAGTTCCAGCTCCCTGCCCTCTCATACATAGCCTTCCACACACAGCCCTCCCCTGCACAGCCCTCCCCTGCACAGCCCTCCCTCCCACAGCCCTCCCGCCCTGCTGGAACCACTTTTCTAGAAGAGTTTGGCCTTCTTTTTCCTTTGTTTTTTTTTTCCTTCTGAATTTTCTTTGATCACCTTTTGTTTGAAATATCATCTTCCTCAGGAATCAGCTTGGCCGCCTTCTTGCGACCCAGGGGCCGTGCACGTGGGACTCGTAGCACAGGCAGTACGGTGGGCTGTCAGTGAGCATGGTGGTGTTCTTCACTCGGGTCTTGGTTCAGGCCAGCTCACTCTTGGAGGCACTGTAGACAACATTAGTAATCTTTGTTTTGCAGAGCCCTGGAGAAGTTCCCATTTCCAGTCTTAGGGCCGATACCTCTTGTTGCCTCCTCTCACACAACCCGTATACGGCAGGGCCCAGACTTAGTGCTGGCAGCCGGGTGCCCCAGCTTGCACTCTGCTTCTTGGGGGGCAGTTTTCTCTACCCCTGGTCTGCGGCGCTTGTGCCAGTTGTCCCGGGAGATGCCCATCACACTGAGCTGGCTGGAGAGTGAGGACAAGGATTGTTTAAGACGAATCCTGGAGAGCAAGACATTTCACCTGGAAATCTTTAAGAATGCTTCCCCCACTGACATAGCTTTGTGTCTTTTTTAAACTGTTTAAATTTGCATGATGTTTTTACATCTTGTGGAATTGATAACAATTCTTTCATCTCCTCTAATTTCGTTGGTTGTCTTATTTAAATGAGGGTCAGTTTAAGAAAGAAAGACCCTCGATGAGAGGGAGTAACACTGTTACTGCAGCAGTGGGCTGACACACGTCAGGGATGGGGAGGAAGGAAGGCGCAGGAGCGGGCGAAGTGTGAGTCTTTCGTACGTAGAGCCAGAGCCCTCTCAGCGGCACCTAACAACAACAACAATCAGGAATAATTAAGTTCGTTTGCATGTATCATCTTTCATCGTTCTGTTGCCAAGTGTCTCACATTCTAGAACAATCCTCCTACTTTCTTTCTGAATGGCATTAATTTATAGGTATTCCATGGACTGCTAAAAGAACAAACAAGTATGTCTCAAAATGAAATCAAAGTGCTCCTTACAGACAAGAATGGGGAAACTTGTCTCACATAGTTTGGGTATATGGTCAGGAGGGGTCAGTCCTTGGAAGAAGACGTCAATCATGCTTATATTTTAGGAAACACTGAGGGCCAGTGAAAGAGAGGAAGACCCTCGACAAGGTGGATTGAGAATATCAGAGATGATGAGGACGGTCCAGGACACGGCAGGGCTTATGGGGTCACTGTGAGTCATAGTTGACTCGATGGCACCTAATAACACGAAGACAGTCTGGACGTGGCTGATCACTTCCTGCGGTGCTGCTGACCTGTTTGTCTTTGCTCTGTAACGTCTTCCTGGAGCCTGAGCTGGACTGTCCAGTGAGGTTCCCACCAGCCACGCAGGACTCTTTAAAGTTCGGTCCTGCAGTCACACTGGCCACACTTCAAGGGCTCAGTCACCCTGTGACTAATGAACGACCCCCCCATGGAACACTGGTGAACTCCAAACACTTTTTCATTGCAGGAAGCTCTGCTGAACAGCCCTGATCAAGGGCTTGATTAGCAGGGTTTGCAAGGACACTTCGTGGGTGGTTCTGGGTCCTTTATCAGGAGATAGGAGGTCTGGCTTTCCCATGGTAACAAATGATGCTCGGCAATCCCAGCTTGCCTCTTCGTTCCAGAATATTCCATCTGTGCATGCTCTGTGCACTCAGGGATGATTACTGGCTGCAAGGCAGTGATTTGCTAATTCTGGTTAGCCAGAAAGGTTGGAAGTTCTTTTTTTTTTTTAATTAAATTTTATTTTTTTTATTATTTTTGTGTGCATGTACCGTCAAATCAGATCTGACTGGTACAGGAGGAGATTGTCCCTCCTTCCCCGGCAGAGCATCTGGTGGATTC